CCGAAAAATAAAATAATATTTAAAGTGCTCTATTTTTCGTCCAATAAAAATGCTTCCCTCTTAATTATACTTGTTTAGTTTCTCAAGCCTGTTAAGCCATAAAAAACACTATAAAAGGGGTCACACAAAAGTTCAACAGGCAGTCAACAGGTGGCCACAAAGGAGACCGGTCACGTTCAGTAGCTGTCAGCAGGAGATCACCAACCACCGTCAACATGTGTGAACTACTATGAGAGATCGACCTAGATCTGAAAGCCGGCTTATGAACTTTACCACACCAAGGTAGCTGCCCTAAACCCTTACGTTCCTGTTGAAATAAACCATGTAAATCTATTTCTACTGTTGTCGTATTTCTTTCTTGCAACCATATGCTTGTCTATAACAACAGCTATCAAATCAAAGTTTATATGTTTACAGATTTTATCTATAATTTGATTTAAACAAGCCAAATGTGGTGTGAATAAATTGTACTTTTCAGAAATTCTGTAGGAATTGACAACCGTTTTTCATTTCACAAGACAAATCACATATTCTGAATACATGAAATGTTACATTTTTTCTTCTATTAATTTGTTTGGCAGTTTTTTTAGAATCATAAATTTGGCTGCTATCTCTAATGGAAATTAGCTAGCTTATTGTTCATAAATGAAGAAATTCAAATACTAATGGAAGATCGTGGAAGATAAGATACATTCCTTTTAGAAACCTTTTTTTTGCAAAATGAATGCAATTAATTACAAATTCATGTGGAATAAGAAGTGTTCTTTATAGAAAGTTCCCTTAATTAATGAAAGCTTTTAAATACAAAGTGAAGATCATATGGAATAAGTAGTACACTGTGGTAGTGTAGAAAACTGTTTTAGTAAATGGAGGCATGCAAAAACAAATCAAGTTAATTGATCATGTGCAATAAAAAGGATTCTTTATGGAAATACTTTTTTAAAAATGAAATCATCCAAATAAAATTAGATGATGATGCATAATAAGAAGGATCTTTTAGTAAAATCCTTTTCTAGAAAATGACATAATTTTAATACAAAACAGAGTTATATTTATATGGAAATCACAGTAAATGTGAAAAAAGAGTAGTCTTTATGAAAAAATGAATGCATTTAAATAACAACTGTTCATATGGAAAAAGTATTCTTGATAGAAACGTTTATTTTAGAAAACATGCATTTAAATATATATGGAAAATCATGTGGAATAAGATGTATTCTTTTTAGAAACTTTTTATCAAAAAATGGACACATTTAAATAAGAATGGAAGATCACGTGGAATAGGAGGTAATCTTTATGAAACTTAAAATTAAATGGAAGATCATATGAAAGAAGCTGTATTTTTCTGGAAGCTATATTATTTTAGGGAAAACATTTTCGACTTTGTCATAGTTTTTTCCTTAAATAATACATAGTTATTTTCCTTAAAATACTATTTCTTTCACTTTGTCTTAGTTTTTTGCTAAAATTGTTCTTGATATATAAAAATATAAAATATCATTTTCCCAAACTTTAGTATCTAAACTGTCAGCTGTAAACAATTGCTTTCTAAGATCTATGATTAAAAATGACTTTGAGCAAATATAATCTGTAGATTGAGGCTACAAAATCACATTAAATTGTAACAAATAACAGAAACCACATTATTTGAGGACTCTCAACAATGGCAACAACTAAAATGCATAGCACATGTAACTCGAAGAGAAAATAATGACATAAACAAGAAATTAACATTCAAAAAAAAGATTAGGAAGAAAAAGTCTATCACTATTGCAAAGAGCAATAACAGTTAGTGGACTTGAGAAGTCTAGTTTCCTGAAAAATACTTTTAAGACCAAAGATTTTATAAATTTCAACTGACAGTGGTACTGACTGCTCAGTCAATGAATGCTGAATGCTCCTGTATAAAGAAACACCTACTATTACCCCTTTTGCAATGAAAGGAATTTTATAGAAATAAAATTTAAGGAATATAAAGAGGATTTTTTTAGGAAAATCTTTTATAGAAAGTAAATGCTTTCAAATTTGGGTTAAAATAATTTTTTTTTTCTTCAATTACAATTTAACACATTTTTATATATATTTTCATATATCTGAGATCTAAAATGATGTGTGTATCAAATTTCACTTCGATCCATTCAATATACTCTCTAGATATATACTTGGAAATTTCTTTATTCTACAGATATTTACATTTCTGTAATCATTATTTATGTTATTTATATAATTTACATTTATTTCCTCATCTTTGTTGTCATTATGACAACGTTTCAACAACTGTACTCTCTGGTCTTCCTCAGGTATCTGCTGATTCAGACAATCTTCAGCAAATTTCAAAAATTTAATCATGGGGATAAATTTTTCTTGTTCTGCTGTCAAGTCTATGAATATCTCATCTTGTTCTTATTTTATACTGCTCATTATTTCCACTGAGTTTAAATCTGTACTACCCAGCCTAGAAATTGAATGCACAATCATTATGCCAGCAAATTCAAAAACCAACTCTTTAATCCAGTAAGCTTAGACTCGGGACAGACAGGGTGATCAGTAAGTGAGCAGTACAAAATAAGTACAAGATGAGATATTCGTAGACATGAGCAGCAGAACAAGAACAATCTACTCCCAGAGATTAAATAAAAATAAATTAAATAAAGGGTTCAATTCAAAATTGCCTGAAGGTTACTCAGATCAACAGACACCTAAAGAAGGCCAGAGAGCATAACAGCTAAAACGTTGTGATGATATTAACAAAGATGGCAGCGTTAGTGAAAATATAACTAATGATACTTTCATGTTATTTCAGAGATAAAATATTCACCTGGGATTGAAAAGCATATGTGTGCCAAATTCTATCTCAATCTCTCCAGTAGTTTTAATGCTTCAAACATCTTTTCCTGCTGTCACATAAAATGTTCTTTATTTAAGAGAAGAGGATTTTTATGATGTGGAAAATACTCTCCAAGGACTGTTTTTCTCTGCAGTCAATTTCAACACAATTCACTGTGTACTTTATTAAAGGTCTAGCCTTGTTGCCAACCAATTCTGATCTATGGTTAGATACTGTATTGTTGCTTGAAGTTCTTTAATGCTTTAGCTAATATTTGAATTTTTATTTAATTATTTCCATTTTGTAAATTCCTCACCTGCACAAATTTTAAAAAAGAATGAGATTTGAGATTTATCTTGCTCATTAATTAAACTGTTTTTAGTTGAACCTTTAACTAACTTCTAGCTTCATTATTATCCAACTTGAAGAACACTGTCCATTGAGAGTCAACTTTAGTTTGATTCTTTGTAGTAAGTGAAAAGCTGAAGAATGGTTCCTAACTTAGAAAATGGAATTGGTAAACTGGGCTGCATATGTTTGCCTTATACTAAAATTTGAGCAAGAGTATGAATTCACCATTTCTTGTTCTGTGTCCCATTTCTATAAGACAAAGAGCTTGTCAATGTAATGTCACAAGAATTGCTATAAAAGAGTAATCCTCATGACATGGATTCTTTCCAGTAATAACTTTTATTTAGTGAGGAGATTAACATTGCCAGGTAAACCTTATTTGTCTTATAGATCAAACATGACAATCAGATGATTTATGTTTGAAAAGGGCACAGGCATTCATGCAGCTTTTGGTATATAAGGTTTAGAAAGTACTAGTTTGATTGTTGACAATTCTTTCTGCTGAATGAAAAAATGAATGATGAGTTCTTTATTGTGTTTTCAGCATATCAAAAAGTGTTAAAGGTTTTGGGAATTTTATTATTATTAAGTTTCATCTTAATTTCATCTTAATTTCAGTTGGTTTTAATTGTAAATCAATAATTCTATGACTATTTACACACTATTTACATAGTTCAGACTGTTGTCTTCATCTTCATTTGCTATATTCACATTTTGACCATTGTATGCTCCAGTCTTCTTCAGGTGATTAGAATTTTGTTCTAGTTCCATGTGACATACCTCTACCGGATGTCTCAGTATCAGTTATCTCCCTTTAACTCCTAGTTTTTGTTCACCTTAGTTGTAGACAGGTATTTCTGGGTCAAGTCACTGGATTCAACCAATGTTTTTATCCTCAAGGACACATGGCTCAGTGGATAAAAATGTTGGTTGAATCTGGTGACTTATCCTGATCACATACACATGCACTATTCCTAGATATTTAACTGTCTGTGTGTCATAACACATAAATAGTAAAGAGCAGCTAATAGCTGTTCATATGAACAGCAGTATTCTACTTAACATGTTCGGCTCTGGAACTGTTTTTGGTTTCCCAGTCCTGCTAACAAGTAGATTCTCATTGTACGCAAAAATATTGACATCTGACAGAACTTGATCTGCATCTCAAGCTATGTTTGTATGAACACACAAACATTTTGAATTATTTGCACAAATATATAAACAAGGGATATGATCATTGCCTTTAGCCTATTTTTAAGGATACAGAGAAGCAGTAGACTAAATCCTATATTCCAGGCTATTTTAAACACTCTAAAATTGAGATACATGATTTTACTAGTTAACGTGTACTGGAGTATTGTACTAGTAAATTGGCAAATTTATCATGTTCACTTTTGCATAAATCCCCTTGGGGAAGGCATAAATTCATCTCTTCTCCCCCAGCTATGGATTACATAGATGAGTAGACTGGACTTTCTCGCTTTTGGTTGCAGCCAATCTAGCAGAAAGAAAATTCTTAATTCCATATTGTGAAGAAGGCAACAAGAAACCACTCCACTGTCGAGAAATTATGAAAATACACAGTCAAGAAAAGAAAACCTTTTGAAAACCATAATTGCCTACATCCTGAAGGGACAGGACATTAAAAATAATATGATGAGATGAATTTGAAATTCAAGCTAGAATTGAAATTATGCAAAGCTGGTGATTTGAGGAGAGTTTTTCTCACCCATTCTATAGCCACAGCCACCAGACATTTTATGTGAACATGCAAATGCAGGAACAATAAACATGTAGCATCATAACAATCCACATATCTAAAATGCAATGTATATGCATCTATCTATCAAGTCTGAAAAAAGGTAAAGACATTACAAACTATAAACACTGGGTGTATATTATACAGTGTAAATATATCATGTATGCATGTAGCACTTTTCTCAAAACATTGATCCTAAGCAGTGTACAAAGATATTCTGATCCTAGGCAAAATGGCCAATCCATTGGCCATTTTTATGGCTACTCTGCTAGTAGTGAAATAACACATCTCATCCTACAAATGGTATGAGGAAAATCTCATATCCAGTCAGTATGAACATTTGAACTAATGCTAAGTATAGTTAGAATTTTGAACAAAATATTTAAAAAATATATATTTTTTATTCAAACCTCTCTTTTACATAATTTATCTTAGTGCTAAACTTCTGTTGTGTGCAGATACTAAGGAGTGATAATCGTTTCCCTCTTCATTTTATATACTTAGAAATAGCATCTGTATAAATGTAACCATGAAAATTCCATTCAAATAATGATAATAATGATAAAAATAGCAAGCATTAACGTTAATGCTTTTAATTGCTAATATTGCCTACAATAGACTTCTCAGGTAGTCTCATTATGTTCCTCTTTTGATGTACAGATCAGCCGTTAGCAGTTAGTTTGATGTTCCTCAAAGCATATCACCTGACAAAAATCTTTCAGAAAGTCAATACTCAAACCTTTAAACCCAATAGGGATCTCTTTGGAAGTAAAGCCAAGTATACTGTGTGTGACATGCCATTTTATACTGAAGCTGTTTTTGTTAGGGGAGAAATTTGAGCTCGTTTGAATGTAAAAGAGTTTCAAAGCTGTGTAGCTTTTGACTAAGCTCTATAAATATCAGTTTGGATCCACTTTGATGTAAGGCATATCATAATTCATCCAATAAAATAACTTTTGATTCTTGTTAAAAGTCTTGTAACTCGTGCCTCAGATTTACTATAGAATAAAAAGCACATTATTCTTCATTAACCCAATTGTCAATTTATTTATCAACTGTAATGAAAATCTATGAAGCTTTTCTCTGCTGTTAGAAATAAGAATTCTAAGTACTGTTGAACAAAGCCAATTCAGCACAAGGCCTGATTAAAAGAGCACCTAGTCAGGTTTAAACTCAGAAACATTAGCCTGTATAACTAACATTTTCATTGTTACTCTATGATACATGCTCTCCTTAAAGTACTGCAAAGTGGACAGGCTCAACAAAATAAATAGATCATAAAATATTTCATCTGTTATATTATGGTGTAAATGTCTTTAAGAGTTCATTTGCATTTCTTAGATATGTTCATTTTATTTTTGTTTATAGCAATCTTGTTGATCATATGAACTGTTCAAGTAAGCATTTTGAAATTTGAAATAAAGCAATAGCTTCTAGTGAGACTTGAACTCACATCCCATATGTTGAAAGTTCACCTTACAGAGATGGTACCTTAACCAATTTAACCATGGTAGGTTAGGCAGAAGTTCATTTAATAGTCAGATTCTTATTTCACCCAGTTGATTCTTTTTTTTTTTTTTTTTTTTTTTTTTTTACAATAAAGTTTTAGCCTGTACAAGTCCAAGGAGCCACTCAAGGTAAAGAGTTACATTAAGAAGCAGTTTATACAGATATGAGAGGAAGGTAACAGGTAATCCTTGACTTGAACAGGTTAAGATTGTAGTAATTGAGGAAACAACCTCTTGGAAATTGGTTTCACAGAGCAGTGGTTCATGGAAAGAAGCTGTTCAAGTGGAACTTACTTCTCACCAATGGGACACAGAGGGAATGTGGTATGGTAGGTTCTAGCCATGAATGTTAGAACTGTTAGAATCAAGGAATGAAGTTCTTCTGAGCACTTCTGTGAGAAAGAGGTTGAAAAATGAAAACAAATCTTACCCACAAAGACTTGGAGACACATTTGTATTTTATTGAGGCTGGAAAGTGCAGTTTGTGCAGCTCCCACCCAAATATGACAACAATACTTCATTCTTGGCCTGATGTGGCTCTTATAAAGGTAGTGAATATCACGTGTAGTCAGATAACGCTTTCCTATAAATTGATGACCTAGTTTACATTGTGTCCAGAAAACAGACTTTCTCTTTGTAGATTTGACAAGGATAGAAAAACTGTAATTATAATGAGTAAAATGATTATAATTTATAATTATAATAGTAATTAGTTCTTTTTATACATTTGGCATTCATTAACCAGACAGCATTACTGTCATTTGAAATTTATAAAATCTTTCTCTTAAAAAAGGTTTTCTGAAAAATAGACTTCTCATGTCCAGTAGCTGTTATTGCTCTTTCTAGTACTTTTTGTTTAAGGTAATGTAGAAATTATATCATTATTTTCTCTTCATTTCATGTGCTGTTCGTTTTAGTTGTTATTAGTGTTGGAAGTCTTCAAGTGATCAGATTTAAGAATTACTAAAACAGAGGAAGCTTTGATTTCTCAGATAAACCAAGAATGGTAACTGGAATCATAAGAAAGGAAACAGTTTTATCCTTTAAATTAATTTGTGGTGGGTGTTTTTTAATCATATTTTTAGTTGCCTTTTCATTGCAACTACCAAATTGACAATGCTTTATCTAATAAAATTTCAAGAAACATTTTTGTTTATATGGAAAAAGACTGTTTATATGTACTTAATTTCTGCTAAATAATGGTCATCTTTTCACTTATACTCAATTGTTAAAACCTCTTGGATATTCAAAATTAACCATCAAGAAAAGACTGGAATATGTATCAATATAAGTTGCAAAATGAGTTTGTGAAAGTGATTTTGCTAAAATACCAGTTAGAGTTCATTTGATTTCACTGATATTAAACAATAACCAAAAAAATATTGGACTTGAAGAGAAAATGGTTTTCAAGCTCATTGAAAAAACAGGAAGCTATTTGGTGTATTTGTTCTCTCACTCAACTGAAGATCTGATAAAGAAACTATATCAGTGTACAAAATCGTATATGTCTGGCAAAGATGCTAACACAGAAATATGTCAAACCTCATCAGGTGTATGACAAGGAGGAAATGAAAATCTTACTCTATTTAATCTCTTCCTAAACTATGCTCATATACAAGCACAGATACAAAGAGATGGGCACTTATCATTTAAGTCAGTGGTTTGCAAAATTTTTTTCTCTGGGCTGCATTTTTGGAATGAAAATTTTCTTGTGCCTCACCAAATTTTATATGATAAAAAGTACATTTTAAAATATAAAAAGAATCAACAAATAATAGTGTGTTAAATATAATATATAACACAAATAATTTCTAATATGATTAAAGTACACAAATTTGATAAATTGGTATGAGCTTGTTTTTGACAAGTAATCTTGGGAATGGAAGTTCCAGTGAAAAGATACAAGCAGCCCTACAGCAAAGAAGGTTCAGAGAGGGGATTAAAGGGAGATAACTGTAGATCCAAAGTCAGAACATTATCATTGGTAACTCTCTCCTCCAATTTATGGACCTTAGTTACTATGTTCTTAATACTTGATATAATGCAAAAATATCACAATGATAAAATCGGTCAATAATTATAACTATTTATATTAGGACTTATGCAGACATTTACAAGTAATCCATAATAATATTTGAAATATGAATTTTTTAAAAACGGTTTCTAAATCATTCCACCTTACCTGCTATCTTCTTCCACTGCACCTATGAGGCATGCCACTGTTTTAAGTATTCTATCCCATGTTTGTAAGGAAATCTACAAAGACACATCAGTATTCCTGATTTCTCTTCCTAGAATAATAAAATCCACTGTTAACATTAACTTAACAAATCCTGAGTTAGGGAGAGCATATAAATACTACACTAATTCTATCTAGAGGTTCAGGCAGTGACACTGTGATGATCCGAGGTACAGTTACAGATACTACTCTAATTCAATACAGGGATCTGGAGAGTGACACTTTGACCTTAAGCAGAATGCACAGGTACAACACTGATTCTAAGTAGAGAGTGATACTTTGATCCTAATCAGAGTGCACAGATTCTACTCTGATCTTATATAAAAGGCCAGGGACCAGTATTTTGATACTTGTTAGAGTACACAGATTCTCTTTCTAAGAAAGAGTGCTAATCCAGATACTACCATTTTTGACAGATACCATGGTACTTTATGTTACTATCAAAGTTCCTCATGCTATCTCTTCTGCACAATGTTAAGAAAATCTAAGAAGCGTATTTAAATTACTTCAAATAGTTAAAATTAATTATCAATATGTTTGTGAGGTGATCAAAATACGATGATATTGAAAAACAGGAACAAAAATAAAGAAAAGGTTCTTTTTTTGCTGTGTTTATTTCCTTTTATCTTTTTACCTTTTCTTTTCATATTCCTTTCTAGTCTTTTCACTTTCTACAACCTTTTCTGCAAATGACTTTTCTAGGAGTCTTTTCTTATTTTATTTTAATCAGTTTGTATTTAGTTGTTTTCAGCTACTTACCAAGATAGCAGACCGACTTTCTGATGTATTCACAATTTTTATCATTGTATTTTGTGGTTTCTCTATTTTCTGAACCTATCTCCTCTGCCAAATATTTAATGCGTTATATTTTCCTTTTTATCAGATAAAAGACAACTCAGTGGCACCAATGATATTGATATTCAGGTAAGTCATCAAAAGAAGAAAAAAGTTTCAATCAAATATTCCTGTCATTATTATTGAATTCTTTACTTTAGTCCCAGTGAAACACTTTACTGTTATTGAACATTTGTCCAAGTTACTCTAACATGGATAAAATATTTCTGTTCTATTCCTGCTTCACCTCTGCTTAATTACATCTTGCTATCACCGTGCAGTGAAGTAGGTAGCCTTCAGAAAATACACAAGTTGTTTTAGATTTCTAATTACATACATATATATATGTATGTATTCCTCAGCCATCATTATTGAGTATGGGTTTCAAACAAAGGTCTTTAGTGTATAGTCAGATGAATAAGACATTGGTATTTGAGACAATGATGCTGTGTGCTAGTGATACACACACTGACATAACAAACTATTATCAGTCAATCAATCAATCATTTCTGATTACACTGTCATATTCTTTTTTTGAGTAGGGAACAACAGATTGGTAATTGAAGTTACTTATGAACTGGAATTGATTTGAGAAGTAACATGTTGGCCAGTTTTATTTTTTTACTCATCAGTGTTTGTTTTTCTTTTTTTTTTTTTTTACTTTAGCTAAAAAGATCAGTGCTGATTTAGAATCTGACAATTTCCTAATGGAAAAACCTTTGAAACTTGAGCCAACATGAAAAGAAAAGAGGCTAATCAAAAATCTAAATAGGCAGTGTTTATTTCCTTAGTATTTTTGTCTATTTGTTTACACACAGATGTTTTCAAATTGGTCGTCGTTTTAGCTTTCAGTTACGTACATCATCTTCATATTGTTTCTTTACTTAGTTTTGTTTTTAAAGAGACATTATCAAATATTAATGTGTAAAAAATAAAGAAAAGAGTACTGACCTGCTATGTCATATCTGTCCTCCTGTATAGCAGTGAATGCTGACCAATTTCCTTTGACTTGAGGCAAAATAGATGTGTTTCTACCAAAGGATTCTGGCATTACCATAGACTGAACATGTGAGCAATGAGGAAGTTTTAAAAAAATGGAAACTAAAAAGACAAATACTTAAAATCAGAAAGAGTTGAAATTTCTGAGACGCATAATGAGGAAACAAGGTTTGGAGAATTTAACACTCACAGGATATATTGAAGGAAGAAGGGTGAAACAGGAATTAAGATATGAGGGTTGGCAGAAAAGTTCATATGCTAACCAAGATGCTCTTGTGGAATGTGACCAAATGAGGTTTATTTTTCAACATAGTCCTCCTTGGAGCACAAACGCTTTTTTTTTTTTAATCATTTCACCTCAAGCAAGGTGGAAATGCCACTTATATGCAAGAGGGTGTAAAGAGTGAAAATGAGAGAAAAGACAAAGTATAGGGAGGATTGAGGAAAAGACAAAAGACGAACACCTATAGGCTAATTTATGGATAGTCTCACAGTCTGCATTGATTAATTGATTTTATTTTTATGGCTTATCAACTCTTTATGGGTTTATTAAAATTAAAACATATTTTAGACAGTAAGAATAATTAATTGTTTTTTTTATTTGCAAATGAATAGCCATTATCAAAGATGACAATTACATTTCAATATATCAAACAATACACGGACAAAACAATAATAATAGTCTGTTTTGTTGCATGTATTATTTGATAATGGCTTAGATCGGATTTAAACATGTATCAATATGGTGATTTCCTTTCATCTTTCAATCATAATGTTATTAAGCTTATCAGACGATATGAAAGGAACTTACTTAAAATAAATAGACAAAACTTGTCTATATTATTTAATGAAACATGCATTAATGAAAAATTGCTGCCTAAATATACACAATATATATATATATATATATATATATATATATATATATATATATATTAAAACATGTTTCATTGAATAATTGCAACAAGTTTACTTATTTTCAATAAGATCCTCTCATATTTATGGACAAGCTTCTTAGTATCCTTATTAAGGGAAGACACATATATATACACTGGGTGTAACAGCAGAATTGTACAAATCGGGTATCAGCAAAATTGTCTATTGTCAGATAAAGTTTGAACCATTGTATCTCAGAAATGATTAAAGATATCTTACTGGAATTCTCCAAGGTTTTATAACAATATTGGACCCTACTTTGAGTAATAAGAATCTATAATTACTCTCCAAGCTTAACCAAAGAATCATGATGAAATCAATCAAATGAAAATGACATGTTCATCATGAATTAGTCATAGCTAAGGATTGCAAGCTCATGAAGGATTGAAATAAAGTTCAAATATATTATTCCAGGATCATTTTCCAACTTTTTCAAAATGATCTTCACCTTCTCTAAACCTTCTAACTTTTTGTCCTGGAGTAACAAGGTGCCTCACACATTTCATGTACAATTTCATCTTCAAGTCTTTTTTTCACTTGCTCTTTGGACTGTCATAGCTGAAACTCCTCTCTCACATTCCAAACATAGAATGAGCTGGATCTTTTCTAATTGATCTTTTCAGCTCTAGGTTGAAATGATGGTCTCTCTTCCTGTTGTGACATTTTCCCTCTACTGTTTCCTCTTTTTTAAAATTATTCACCATTTATTGATGGTTCTTGAATGAACTTTGAAGATGGAAGCCAGAGTATGAATGTTGGTATCATTACTGAAGGCCTGAATGATCTTTTTCATCTCACAATTGTTCAGTTGAGAAGACATAGTGGGGCTGACACAAAATGATTTTAACCTGTTCTCTATCTAGCTGAATAATTCAAAAGGGTTTTCTGTGATTCCTATGACAAATGGTGTCAAGGTGGCTAAACATTTTATCTGAAAACCTGAAAAAAGAAACTCAATTAGTTTAGTGGCTTTTTAGCTATTAAACATTTTGTCGGATGGACAATTATGCTGTAACATGATTTGGACAATTTTGCTATTACACTTGGTACACACACACACACACATATATATAATAAACATACATATATATATTCACATATATGAACTCTGTGTTTGTGTTCCTGTTAACTGTATTGTGCATTTTTGTGTTTGTGTTAATTGTATATGTAATTTTTTAGTATATATTATTTCACTTCATTTAGTGTTTACATATATTTTAATAGGTTGTATTATTTAATGTTTGCTACTTGTGTTGTGTGAAAGAACAGTTGTTTCTATTGTGTTGGTGTGTGTGTTTATGTGCATATCTGTGTATGCACACGCATGCAGGCATACATACACACAAGTATGCATTCACACACCCACCGTACATGTATGTTTGTGTATACATGCTTGTGCATCTGTGTGTTTATGTACATGTTTGTATTAACTGTATTGTGCATCCTATTGTGTGTGTGTTAGTGTTATCTGTATGTATTGTTAGTGGGTTGTATTATTTAACTTAGTTTTTTAACTTTATTTAGTGTTTGATATTTGCATTTAGTTGTGTGAAGGAACACTTTTTTTGTTGGTAATGTTAAACCAATTAATTATTTCTTTTGTATTTTTTCATTGGTTTATGATTAGTATTCTCCTTAACTTTGTTATTATTTTAACCATTTTAGTTTAGGTTATGGTTGAATTTTTGTGTTTTTGTTCTTTCCCACAACTAAACACAAGTATAAAACACCAAGTAAAGTGAAATAATAGCACCCATTTAAAAAAAAATACATATACAGTTAATACAGACACACACAAAAACACAAGTAAACTCACAATACAATGAATAGGAACATAAACACGCACACATGCACAAACACACTAATGTACACATGCAGATGAGTGTATGTGTACATGCTTGTGTATGAGCATGTGTGCATGCATAAACACACACCTGCACAAGCATACATATCCACACAAAATTCCAACGTGGCCTAAATTAAATGGTCAACAATAAACCAGAAACGAATGAGAAAAGAATAAAAGAGAAAAAAAAAAAAAGGAAAAAAGTAAAAAAAAAAATAGGAGGAAAGAGAAATGAGCAATCAATCAACACCCATCAAAGGGAAAGGAAACAAACAACACGCTCGTACCACAATATCAAAGTATAAGAGAAATGACAGCTGATTGTTCCAACAAGTGGTTATATCTATATAGCTACAAAACTCCAAAGTAAACATGAGTTAAGTGAAAAAAAAAACTTTTTCATATTTTTTCTATTAATGCTCTATCTTTATCTTTCGATATTGAGCACTCTACTACAAAGCCTGCTTGCCTTAAATGACTCCTTAGCAAACCACTGAAAAAAACACCAATTTTGGATTCAAATGAAATATTTCAAATTAATACTGTGTGTGTGTATATATATATATATACATATGCACACACACATTATATATATATATATATATATATATACACACACACATATGTGGTAATTTTGAATTTTATTGTTTATTAATTATATTCCTCTGTATTAATAAATATATTGAGCTCTTTTTGTGAATCAGTTCTTTTATTGTAGTTTACTGGTGGAAAGGCATTTTAAGCAGGCAAGTTTTTGTCATAAAGTGCTCAATATCAATAGGTACTGATGGAGCGTTAATAGAATTAATGTGGAGAAACTTGTCACTTAACTGGGTGGCGTTATTTCAGTCATGTCAACTTCAAAGGCTCATGAGCACATTGTCATAATGCTTTTATTTTTCAGAGCTGTTGACTTCTATTTGCAGAGAGATGTATGATTAATAGAATGAGTTAGTGAGAACTTTGGCCAAACTCTCTTCTTTATCTACCACCTCAAAAGTAACAATGGAAAAATTATTACACTCATTGACAGTGGTACTGGCATATATTTATGTATTTGAAATTGGCTGATTAAACTGGCCAATATACAGCTTAGTTTTTCTTTAGCTTCACTCATTCAGAAGAACTATCTGCATTAAACTCATCTTAGTACAACTTATTCAACAGATATACACTTTCTTACTAAGGGCATTAACAAAAGTCTATACTGCATTTGTTTCATGTGCTAATCAAATTTCACAAACCTTGGGGCTGTCGCTGATATCTATGCTCAAACACACACACATTCACTGTATAAGAATTATTCAAA